GATTTGGTGGTGATGAACTTCTTTAGTTTTTCCTTGTCTGGGAAACTCTTTATATGGCCATCAATTCTAAATGATAGCTTTGCAGGATAGAGTAATCTTAGTTGTAGGTTCTTGCTTTTCATCACTCTGAATATTTCTTGCCACTCCCTTCTGGCCTGCAAAGTTTCTTTTGAGAAATCAACTGACAGTCTTATGGGAGCTCCCTTGTAGGTAACTAACTGCGTTTCTCTTGCTGCTTTTAAGATTCTCTCGTTGTCTTGAACTTTTTGCATTTTGATGATGATGTGTCTTGGGGTGGGCCTCTTGAGGGTTCATCTTGTTTGGGTCTCTCTGTGCTTCCTGGACTTGTATGTCTGTTTCCTTCACCAAGTTAGGGAATTTTTCTGCCATTATTGTTTCAAATAGGTTTTCAATTTCTTGTTCTCTCTTTTCCTTCTGGCATCCCCAAGATGCAAATGTTGGCATGCTTGAAGTTGTCCCAGAGGCTCCTTACACTATCCTCATTTTTTTGGATTTTTTTTCCTTTTGTTGTTCTGATTGGGTGTTTTTTGCTTCCTTATATTCCAAATCGATGGTTTGCTTCTTGGCTTTACCTACTCTACTATTGAATCCCTGTAAATTATTCTTTATTTCAGTTAGTGCCTTCTTCATTTCTGACTGTGCATCCTTCATTTCTGACTGATCCTTTTTTATGCTCTTGAGGCCCTCACTAAGCTCGCTGAGGTTCTCACTAAGTTCATTGAGCATCCTTATAAGCAGTGTTTTGAACTTAGCATCTGTTAGGTTGCTTATCTCCATTTTGCTTAGTTCTTTTCCTGGAGTTTTGTTCTGTTCTTTCATCTGGGACCTGTTTCTTTGTCTCCTCATTTTGGCTGCCTCCCTGTGTTTGCTTCTGTGTATTACTTAATGAGAGATATGGGGACTATCTGAGACCAGATGCTGCTTGTTTGAAAGAATTTAGGAAAACCTGAAGCAGGGTCCAAGACAGGCCAATCCTATGGTTAAGCAACTGGCAACAGCTTGGGTGGGCCCAAAAGTTGGGTGGGGCGGGGCCTCAGGGAATCACCAGGGTGGGGCAACCAGTGTGAGCCAGGTTGCTGGAGTCCCAGATATGGCTTCTGTCTGCTGCCCCAGGGAAGGGCTCACCAAAGGAACAAAGGCCTCTGACAGCACATCTGTCCAGGAGAAAGCTCCCTCTCCAGCCCTCGCTCCAATGCCAAACAGCTCAGTTCTTCCCTGCATGTCTCTGGCGCCCCTCAAGCTGTTTCCCCTCTGAGTTTAGAGGGAACAAGTCCGAGTAAATCCATGTGCGGGCCCTTTAAAAGGAGCTGCCTGGGGCTCCAGCTGCCTCAGCCTCCCTGAGCCTCAGTTCCCGCTGGTTTTTCCAGCCAGAAGTTATGGGGACTTCTCTTCCTGGCACTGGAACCCTGAGCGGGGCGCCTGGTGTGGGACGGGGACCCCTCAGTCCTCAGGGAGGATCTTCCCAGCTGAGGTATCCTAATTTTTATCCACTACACGTGAGTGTGGGACCAGCCCGTTGCGCCTCCGCCCCTCCTACCAGTCTCGATGTGGCTGCTTCTTTAATTCCGTAGTTGTAGGACTTCCATTCAGCTTGATTTCAGGTGGCTTTGAATGATGGTTGTTCTGTAGTTTAGATGTAACTTTGATGTGGTTGTGGGAGGACGCAATACTGCGTTTACCTATGCCGCCATCTTGACCGGAAGTCCTTTAATTCATTTTTAGATAGAGTGGAAGGGAGGAATGGGGAGAGAGAGAGAGACATCGAAGTGAGAGAGACACATAGATTGGTTGCCTCCTGCATGACCCCAACCAGGGCCAGGGAATCAAACCTGCAACCCAGGTATATGCCCTTGACTGGGAATCAAACCTGAGACCCTTCAGACCGTGGGCCGACAATCTAACTGCTGAGCCAAACTGACCAGGGCTCTACAGGCTCTCTTGATCCTCCTAACAGCTCTGTGAGGATGCTGGGCCATGGGGGTTGGCTCATTCATTCATTCATTCATTCATTTAGATTTCCCCTGCCAGAGCTGGGACTTAGGGGTGAGGAGAATGAAATGCTCAGGGTAAAACTTAAGGAGGCACCTACTCTTCAGATGCTCCAAGTGTTACCAGCAATATTGGTGGCGAAACAGCATCAGTGGTTACTGGCAAAGTTGGACCTTGGTTCTTGAATTCAGCAAAGAAAGAATTCAGAGCCAGGAACTAAAATTATAAGATAAAATTTATCTAGAAAGTCACAGAGGTAACAGAAATGAGTCAGCTGGGCTGAGTAGGCTCAGGAAACAAGTTATAGAAACAAAAGAAGGGCCCCTGGAGCTTAGGAGAGAGAAAGGCAAAGGTAATGCCCTGGGGGGAAGAAGAGGGGAGAAAATGAAAGACACAGGAGTGCTCTGGAGAGGGAGAGCATGCTGGGTCCTTCATCTTGAGGGTTTTAAAGGCTGGGAGTTTAGGGGAGGATCTCAATAGAGTGTTCATCAGCTTTATGCTGATGTACCAAAATGAGATTTATTTCTATGACTTTCATCTGTCCTTGGGTGTGGTTGATACTAATTGGATTTTGTTATCTCTCTGAGTAGGGTGATTGATATTTATTTATTTATTTAATTTTATTCCTCACCCAAGGATATTTTTCTTTTTTTTTTTTTATCCTCACCCGAGGGCATTTTTCCATTTTTTGTTCAGGTAGAGTGGGAGGGAGAGAGAGGAACAGAGAGAGAGAAACATCGATGTGAAAGACACATCAAGTGGCTGCCACCCACACGACCGACCAGGGCTGGGGACAAACTGCAACCGAGGTACATGCCCTTAGTGGGAACCGAACCCGGGTCTCTCAGGACCGCAGACCGACGCTCTAACCGCTGAGCCAAACCGGCCAGGGCCCAAAGATATTTTTCTACTTATTATCAGATAGAGTGGGAGGGAGGGAGAGAGAGAGAGACAGAGAGAAACATTGACGTGATAGAGCCACATTGACTAGTTGCCTCCCGCACGACCCCACCAGGGCCAGGGACAAACCACAACCGAGGTATCTGTCCGTGGCTGGCATGGAACCCATGACTCATTGGTCCACGGGCCATCGCTCTAACCGCTGAGCTAAATCGGCCTGGCAGGTGATTTATTTTTTAAAAATGTCTTTTAGCCCTGGCCGGTTTAGCTCAACGGTAGAGTGGTAGAGCGTGGGCCCACAGACCAATCAGCCATGGGTTTGGTTCCAGTCAAGGGCATGTACCTAGGTTGCGGTTCATCCCCGGCCTGGTCAGTATCATGCGAGAGGCAGCCAGTCGATGTGCCCCTCTCATGTCGATGTTTCGCGCTCTCTCTCTTTCTCTCCCTCCCACTCTGTCTGAAGATAAATAGAAAAATATCCTTGGGTGAGGTTTAAAAAAAAAGCTAGCTGCATTGATAATACTGAAAAGTACATGGGAAAGAGTGCTCCACTGCTTGAGGCACTGTACTCGATACATAGCCTTCCCTGAGTAAAGGACAGCAAGCTCTTTTAAAATATGTTTTTATTGATTTCTTTTAGAGAGAGAGAAAGGGAGAGAGAGAGAGATAGAAACGTCGATTGGCTGCCTCCTGCTGACTCCCACTTGGGATCAAGCCCGCAACCTGACATGTGCCCTGACCGGGAATCAGACTGGGAATCAGACCGGGATCTCTTAGTCCATGGCAGGATGCTCAATCCACTGAGCCACACCGGCCAGGCTGAGTAGTGTGATTTAAATGATTTACCCTCTGGTTGGGGAGGAAAAGTGTTAACCATTTACTTTAATTTCGATTTACTAGATAGCTGTAAACTGCTTGGCTGTTTAACTCTCTGTCTCAGTTTCCAATTCCACTTGTCCTGACTTACTAGCATGCCTCAAGTGCATGGTCTGCACTAAGAATGAGCCTCTCCTTAAATTTTGCCTCCAGGGCACCTCCCCTGCGGGACCCTAGTCCTGGTCCTGCCCCCCACTCTGTTGTGCCAGGCACTATTCTCTGTTCTGGGGATCTAAGAGTGAACAGAACACATAAAACTCCCACACAAGGCTTCTATTCCAGAGGGAAGACAGGCAAAATTGTTGCCCCACCGAGGAGACAGGCTCCAGGGGGAAGTGACTTGCCCAGAGCAAATAAGCTCAAGGCCCCTGACTCTCTCCAGCGGTCTTTCTCCAAAGTCTTGTGTGACAGCAAAGTTGATATTTAGGTTGGTGTGTTAATGTGCTTGTCCGAGTGGGTATTAAATGGGATCAGCATTATAACTTGGGCTGTCTGTGGACCCCAGCTGCCGGTGGAATTTCAGTATGGTGGGGGGCGGATGGGGAAGATGTTATGGACAGAGCCCGACCAGCACGCTGACCCTCTCATGGAGGGGCCGCTTTTCTAACTCTAAGCAGATCCTCTCACTCGCCTTCTAGCCTCCTACGTGATCACAGACCTGACCCAGCTGCGGAAGATCAAGTCGATGGAGCGGGTGCAGGGCGTGAGCATCACCCGGGAGCTGCTGTGGTGGTGGGGGATGCGGCAGGCCACCGTCCAGCAGCTGCTGGACCTGCTCTGCCACCTGGAGCTCTACCGTGCTGCCCAGATCATCCTGAACTGTGAGTAACGAAGATGGTCCCCTGCGGCTGGCCCTGGAGCGTGTTTCAGCAGGAGCTGCGTGCACTCTCTGGCCTTAAAACCTTTATGAATCTTTTTAAAAAAATGTGAATGAGCCCTGGCTGGTTTGGCTCAGAGGTTAGAGCGTCAGCCTGCGGACTGGAGAGTCCCGGGTTCGGTTCCCACTAAGGGCACGTACCTCGGTTGCAGTTTGTCCCCGGTCCCGGTTGGGGTCGTGTGGGTGGCAACCAGTCGATGTGTCTCTCTCACTTCGAAGTTTCTCTCTATCTCCTTCTTCCTCTCTTCCTCCCACTCTATCTGAAGATAAATGCAAAATAAGTAAATAAATAAAAATAACAAATGTCCTCAGGTAAGGATTTAAAAAAATGTGAATGAGCTTTGCACAGTGGCAGTATCATAACCAATGTAGTTTATCTGAGGCGGGAAGATTACTAATTGAAAACTTTTTCCAATACCCTGCTATGATGACTTGAAATACAGTATGCATTGGCAATTTAAAAATTTTTTGAATGAAAGAGCTTATCATCCAACTAAGAAGTTAGCCACAGAAGTTACTTCTGGTCATGGGTGGAGATGGAGGTCACACCCAGGATGTCTGTATCCAGAGCTCTCATTCTTAGCTTTTCTCATGGGAACATTCCAGATCACAGTGCTTGACCTTCTAGGAAACACTGACATTTTGCCTGTAGGTCTCTTTTCTGAGGAGAACTTGACTCAGATCCCTGCCTTCCTCTTCCAACTGCCCCTATCCTCTCAGGGCTGTGAGAGGCTCCCTTTGTTCCCCAAACCTCTTTCTCTTCCCCTTAGCCTTGTTGATTAAAATTGCCTGAGGAAGAGAGATTCAAGCCTGTTTTCACATCCACAAATCCCCCCCGGCCGTTCTTTGTTTTGGGAATTTGGTTGTGGTTTCACTCTGTGTTCTCAGGCAAGACACTTCCCCTTTCTGTACCCCCCACACCCCAACAAAAATAAAGTGCTATAAATTTCTGTTACTTTTTGGAGGTGAATATAGAGGGTGTGTGTGAAGCATTTGACGTTTCTGTAGTCCAACTGGTCAAAGCCAGTTTCCCGTCCCTGACTGTAGTGAGGCAGGATAGTAAGAAGCTAGGAAAATTCCTTGGCAAGTGGAATAGGGAAACTGACAGATAAACAGCAGTCCGCAGCCAATAGAAAATCCAGATGCCAAGCAGTTTGCAGCCATCTAGTAAATTCTACCCTCTCCAAACCAAGGGCAGTTAAAAGTAAGTGGTTTGGTCCTGGCCGGTTTGGCTCAGCAGTTGGAGTGTTGGCCTGTGGACCAGAGAGTCCTGGGTTCTGTTCCCGCTAGGGGCACGTACCAAAAAAAAAGGTAAAAGGTTTGCACTTCTCTTCCCCAACCAGAGAATAGCCTAAATCAGGGAGACAGAGAGCAGAAATCCAATTAGCACCATTTGCCAACCATATCCAAGGACAGATGAAGTTGAGAATAAATCTGATTTTGGTGCAACAGCCTAAAGCTGATAAGTATCCTGTTGAAATTCTCCCCTAAGATCTCCCCTGAACACTCAGCCTTTAAAACCCTCAAAACAAGATCCACCTCACTGTCGCTCCCAGGAGCATGCCTACGCCTCCCCCACCTCCTTCTCCCCCCACAGGCATGCACCTCCTAAACGCTAAGGGACCCCAGGAGACTAGCAACCAGGGCTGCCATGGGCAGTGGCCGTTCATCCTGGGCAAACCCCCTGACCCTGTCCCCAAGGCCCGCTTTCCTCTGACTTTAAAAAAAAACTTTTTTTTTTTTATCCTCACCTGAGGACATTTTTCCATTTTCTTAATTCAGATAGAGCGGGAGGGAGAGAGGAAGAGAAAGAGAGAAACATCTCTGTGAAAGGAACACATCGAGTGGCCACCCACACGACCCAACCAGGGCCGGAGACAAACTGCAGCCAAGGTACATGCCCTCAGCAGGAACCGAACCCAGATCTCTGTGGACCGCAGGCTGACACTCTAACTGTCGAGCCAAACCGGCCAGGGCTCCTCTGACTTCTTAGTGAGCCAGCAGCCCAGCCTGGGCTCACTTCCCCACCTAGTCCCTCTTCTGTATCCCAGGCCCGTCCTGTTTCACCGCCCGGGTTCAATAAACGTCCTCTAAAATTCACTTGGACTTGTGCTGTGCAGTTTCTCCTGCACTAAGTCAGGAACCTACACACTACCAGCTGGTCTGAGGCAGACCCGCGGGGCTAGGCCCCCTGTCCAGTCACAGTAGCATTAATTAAACCTTATTTTGCATGGACTTGTTGAAGATTGTGACCGGGCTCAGCTGCCGGCAGTTTGAGCCCCTGACTTCTGCCTACCACTTAAAGGGGTTTAATTAGATTAGAGTAAAACAGTGTTTGTCAGTCACACACACTAATAGTCCTAGGTGTGCAGTGGCTTTTTCAGAGACTTATTATTTATATTTAACAGAGGTCTTCTGAAGGTTGGGCCTGAACTGAAAGGTGATGTATGGTAGCCACTGGGGACCACACAGGCATCAAGTCTTTTGAAATCATGTACTGTCAGTGGTTGCTGGTCTGACTGTGTGAAGCTGGGTGTATGGGTCTCTGTTCCTTGATATTATCTTGGCCTTACTTGCCAAGGCCATTGTGGTTCAATCTGTCAAACATTAAATGTCATAAGAATTAGAATAAATTAGTACAGAAGGCTTATTACCCAGCTACTTCCATCAAGCAAATCTACTTGCCAGTGTCAACCCCTTTTTACTCTCGTAGCTGTTGCTTGGCAGTCTCCTGGATTAGCATTTTAAGGGCCGACTGCAGTGACTTAAATAAGACAGTTTATTTTTCTCTCCTGTGACAGTCCAAGCTGCCCAGGGCTGATAGTGTTACAGGAAAGAGACCAAGTCCAGAGGGGGTCTGCCGCGGGCTGGTCTATAGCGGATAGTGGGTTCCTAACTTCGTGTAGAAAGATTTTGCAAAACTTGAGTTGAGGTGATTTTGAGAGGATGTTCATTAACGCTGGGGACAGTGAAACAAGGAAGGGCTTAGGACAGAAGAAGCAACAAGAGAGAGACAAGACGGGGCTGCTGTGGCTCTTTAGAAAAGTTATAAGAAAGGAGTCAAGGTGGGGCTGCTTTGGCTCACTGGAAAGTCAGAGAAAAGGGGCCGTGGGGACAGGTCCGTTGCTCCCCTGGCTGTAAGTCTCATGGGGTCCCTTAGAGCTTAGGAGATGCACGCTCTGGGGAGGGAGAGAGCATGCTGTGTCCTTTGTCTTGAGAGTTTTAAAGCCTGGGAGTTTAGGGGAGGTCTTAGGGAAAGATCTCAATAGAATATTCATCAGCTTTTCCAAATGTGTCCTTTCAGGGTCGTGGTCTCCACTGATTAGTCAGCAGAGCCAGGGGTTGTTTATTTGTCATATCAAGTAACTGGTCCTGGCATTACCTGCCGGAGGCCTAGATGTTATCTCTAGGGAGGAAGTGGGGGGCTCTAAAAACCACATGACCAGAGTTAAGGTCTGGGTGTCTAAACCGCATGTCCAGCGATGTGCAAATGTGGGAAAGGCCACCTGGGGACAAGGTCCAGCACCAGTTTTGCCTGCTGCTAGGCACCCGGGGCTTTGGCCCTGGTCACCTTTTGTACAGGCTGTGAAGAGCTCGCCAGTTTGTTCAGTCATCCGTCACAGTTTCCCCATTCCACTTGCCAAGGAATTTTCCTAGCTTCTTACTAACCTGCCTCACTAGGGCCGCTCAGTGGTGTGGAGAACCAGGTTCTTGCTTCTCCATTGCTCTACCATCTTGGACTGTGCCCCCAGGTGCACATTCCAAGCAGCAAGAAGAGTGTGTCTGGGAAGCTGCACACCTAACTCCCCTTCACAAGTCATTGGCCAGGACTAGTCACATGATCACACCTAGTTGCAAGGGAGGCTGGGATATGTAATCTTTAGCTGGGAGGTTATGTGCACAACTAAAATTTCTATTACTCTAGAAGAGGAGGGAATAAATAGTCCCTTCGGGCCTCCCAAATATCCATATACGTCTGCCTTCCCACACAGAAAACATGCTCATCTTTCCCCCAGGGGAGACAGGCCTGGTGTCTTAATCAGGTCCTTTAGCTCAAGGACCACGATCTGTGGGTGATGTGTAGTCTTCTCTGTCAGTGGTGGAATTTGAACAGGAAGGCCATTAAAACTCTCTTGGAAATGAAAAATATGCCATGGTACTTGTTAAAGTAGTTGACAATGCTGGCTGACAGGAATTGTCAAGGTCCCTTCTGCTAGGAGGGGGAATAAGTCCTTTTTGCTCAGTCCATTGGCAGCCCCTTGTGCTCAGGAAGCCAGAGATTCTCAAAGTGTTTCCCAGATTTGTAGTCATCCGCAGCACCAGGGAACTTGTTAGGGATGCAAATTCCTGGGCCTCACCTCACCTCTGATTCAGAAACTCTAGGGTGGGGCCCACTGCTTGAATACCTGGTCTCTAACTTCTGGCTCTGTCTTGGGGGGTTAGAGGAAGGGGTGGGCAGTTCCGGGAGCTCTCCTGTTCATTGTTCTCTGTGGCCTCTGCCCTTTTGGAGGGCTACAGGACTTCCACAGCCCGCTTCCTGCTGCTGTGGGTTTGAGAGCCTGAGGGAGCTGTAGAGGTCAAATAATTACAAGCTTTTGTCACATGAGGCCTGTGGTTTCTCTGGCAATACAATTCTCTTAAAAAACTAGAAGCTTCTGTACTTTTGGCTTCTAATCAGTTCTGATTCAGCCTAGACATATTTTAGCTCTTAGCCCTGGAATGTTTGGTCTTTCATATAGTGGCCTGTGCACTGGGCCTGCCTGCCTCTGCTCCTAATTGGATGTGCTGACTTGCAGCCTCCCTAAGGCCACTCAAAACAATACCTTGGATGGGCAGGAAGCACTGTTCATTGGATTTTGCCTCTGGGCTCTCTGTCCGGCAGAGAAGAGGTTCATTGGTGGAACTGAGAAAGGTGAATGGTGATTAGAAGGGTTAGGGCCATGGTCTTATCTCCTGCTGAGGCTGTTTCTTCAGAGCCCCTAAAATGGGGCTTCTTGGTCAACTCGGATTGTCAACTACAGGCTGAGAGGGTCTTCCTTTTCAAATCTGCTCCTGCATGGTCTTGTTCCATGGGAGTTCATCTCTCTTTTGTTGAAGGTTCCTGAAAAAGAAAGCACATACAGCAACATTCGGAACATTTTCAACTTCTCCCCTTAGTTACAACTGTTCTCAGAATAGGGACTGCCTTCCGAGTGTCACAGGTGATAATGGTTTTACCAACTTTTCTGCTTTGCTTTAAGAAGAGTAACGAGCTTTCCAGTCTGCAGTGCCTGGATCCTTGCTGCTTGGGGCTCCACTCCTGGGCACCAAATTCTGTGTTTGTTATTATATTGGTTTGGCCGTGATAAGAAAGGCCAATAACAGTAGCTTAAACTAAAAGAGTGTTTCTTTCAGGTAGTAGTGTGTGTGTTGGCCATCCAAGGCTGATATGGTGGATTCACAGTGTCAGGGATTCAGGCTTTTTTTCTGTTATTCTGC